AAAGCCTAGCTCTGGTGGGAAAACAAAGGGTACAGCAGAACTATTATCCAGATGCGTAGCATGGAAAAATGCACCTGGGGTAGTAGCCTCTCCTCATCCTTCATACCTTCTCGCTCGCAGGTGCAGGAACAGCAGCATGCAGAGCAGAGGGCACCCAAGGAATCATCATTCTCTAGAGTAGCAATGGAGCTTGCTGCTACCAGACAAGAAAATTTCACTCCAATTTTCTTTGCTCCCTTGCCCCATCCTTCTGGTGCCCCTCCCCTAAGCCACACCTAGGGTACCTGCTCCACTCCTCCACCCCACATTATGCTACTGCTATGACCTTTCAAACAATCTTCTGTTAGCAGTTCCATTTAAGGGCTAGAGTGTGGAAAATCCCAGAAAGAAAAGACAAAAGTGAAAAGAGAAGAGGGAAGTGTATCGCAGACAGACAATACAGAGACAGTCTTTTCAATGCCATAAACAGAAAACTGAGCAAACTGTAAAACAAAAAGGACAGTCCTTGCACCGTATAGCTTATGATCTAAGATGAGATACAACAGATGACTGTGGCGGTATCAGTTCACTAGCAACCTATACTTTCCAATTGTTTGGACACATCATAGCAAAAGAGGAGTCTTTGGAGGAGGATAATGAGTAGCTTTACAGTTGTTCACAAAGAGGTGGTTCCAGGGAGGAAGGGCAGCAAGAGAGAAAGCATGAAAGTATTTGTTTGGAAATTTAACAGCTGGGCAGTGGGGATAGGTAACACTGGCTGATCTGAGACAGAAGATGACAAAAGCAACAGTGACAGAAATGACAGGTCAGGGCAAGGAGGCTGATGGCACGGTTATTGAAGACAAACACCTAATGTTCGGAGTTACAAAAGAAAGGGAAACAATTGGGGGGATTCAAAGAGAGGTTAGTAAGTCAAAGAAGAAGGCTAGAAGTATATTGTTGCAGCAGCATTTGGAATGAATGAGAGTGGGCCAAGCCTGTATTTGAAAAGGATGTGACAGTAACTGAGAAGCAAGACAGAAGGAATTTGGCTGAATGTTTTAGCTGTGTGTATGGAAAGGAAAGGCCACACCGTAGAGGTGTGGAGAGCCATTTCAGTGGAGAGCAGGGGGGAGCCACATTGGATACTGTCTGGAATAGAACGAGAGTAGAAGAAAAGCCAGTCTGGACCAGAAGTCACAGCAAATGGGCTGAGTCACAGGACAAGGACTAACAGATGATCTTACAAGAGATCAGGTAATAACTGGAAAAAGAAAGAGCAACTGCATATGCACGTAAGTATGTGAGTGAGTACACATGTGAACAGTATTCAGGGAAGATCAGCTCAAGTGAATGGCTCTTTTGTTAAGCAGGAGAGTTGAACCATGGTTCCAGGCTGAATAAAGAGTTGAGGAAGAAGTAGGTATGGATGGTAGAAATTGTTGAGATGTGAAGAGACCCAGGAAGGAGAAATGTCTCTAGTGAAGAAGACTGAGGGCAAGAGATGCTAACATGTATGAAAAGGTTTGATAAAGAGCCACAGGTAAGTAGAAGATGGACAAATTTCAAATAACAGCATGGAAGATCTGAAGTTTTTCTTCCAACTTGGCTCTGAGGCCAATCCTTGCTATCTGGCAGGGTCTCTGTGGCAGTGCACTTTTGGTGCCTGTCACTTTAAGGACTGGAGCAGGCAGCTGCCAGGTGGCTGATTGCAGCAGCCATTTTCAAAGGCAGGCCAGCTATATAAAAAGGGCAGTTGGCTGCTAGCAAGGGAGGCAGTAACATCAGCTGACTGAGCTCCTGCTCAGGGACTTGGAGGTAAAGAGAAGTGCTATGGGGAGGCAGAGGCTCCTGTTGTCCTGGCTAAGATGTGAAACTGTACCCTGCCAGGGAAGGGTAGCCTGGTGGGGCTCCTAGTGGCATAGGAGCCCCCAGGAAATGCCAGGCCAGTTACCTCCTTGGTGAAGGGCAGGAAAGGGCACCTTATAACCCCAGCCCCACATCCCTGGTGGTGTTCCAGCAGAGCAGGGAGAGCCCGAATTCATTAGGAGCCCCAAGGCAGAGTCCAGGCCAGAAAAAGGACCTGGAGCTGCACCCAGGCAGCAGGGTAAAGCCTGGGGGCATGAGTGGAGCGACAGAGAGAGAGGTCCTGTGAGTGAGTAGAGGCCATAAGCGAGGGGTATAGTGAAGAGGGGAAAAGACCCAAGGGGGGCATGGAGGCCTAGTGCGGGGCCAGGAGTAAAGCAGGCTAACAGTTGTAGAGTTGCTCAGGAAACGTTCACGTGAGGGCAGTGGAAGATGCCCAACAGACGGTGCCGGGGCTGACCTAGGTGTGGAGAGACAAGTTGGAAGCTGGGTGAGGCCAGGTGGTATGAATGTGGCCCAGGAGAGTGCAGCATGAAAGAGGCCGGGTGAGAGCTGGCAGAGTGAATGGGACGCCAGCAAGAGAGGGGTGGTGTGAGAGTGGCCCTCCAGGGTAGTATGGTAGAGCTACGATTATATGCCCAGTTTGCTCCAGACCTAGGCCGGAGAGGTAACACACAGTGGAACATCTGCAAAGCTTGGGGCATGTACAGGGGTGGTCTAAGTGTGCACTTTATTTTCATCAAGGCATGGCTAGTGAGTGGAGCAGGTAAATTGCCCAGAGACAGGGGAAGACTGGAGGTGGAGACCTGGTCAGGATTGTAAACCTGTTACAGTCTCAAATTCTAATTACCATCACAAGAGGCAGGTTCTTGTATTTGATTTCTGCTTATTACAGTAGAAGCTGTATTAACTGGCACGAGTGGGGTAAGGAGGGTGCTGGTTATGTAAAAATTCTAGTTATCAGAATCAATGAAGTGGCGGCTGCGTGGGATGGTGGATGGCTGCCGCTGCATGGACACTCCTTCCTCCTTCATCCCCCACATCTGGCTGGCTGCCTGTGTGGCCCACAAAGGGGAGCCACTTTCCACACTGTCTCAAAACTGCGCCAAAACTTTAAATTCAAACCCCAAGAATAGGAATCAGGGAATATGAATTCAAGAAAGGAGGCCTACTGTTTAATTTTTCCCGACCCTTTTCTTGTAGTCTCAGGAAAAGTGTCATAAGCAAGAAAGTCTAAAGGCAACTGGCTATCAGGCATATTAGCTACAGATATTATTGAAACGTGCTGAGGGGTGTATTGTTGGAGTCTTTACCACATACCAAAAATATGTACATTTGCTAGTGCTAAAGCAGAGATGGATAAAACAGTTTATAGTCGCAGACCAATTAGAACTAGCTTTTTCTGTAGTTCTAGGGTAACTGTTTCAGAAGACACACTTGCAGTCCTGACAAGCAAAACTGACTTCAGAGTAGCCCAGAACACATGTAGCTTTCAAATCTGGTTCTGTGCTCAAGGCCTTGCAAGTGAAAATGCACTGAAGAAAAACTGATAGGTCTCCATCCCTCAGGGAATAAATTAGGCTACAGAAATCCCTCAATGTTTTAGTTCATTACAAACAAAACAACAAAAAGCAAATCCCAAAAGTAACAAATGCGTGGAAGCTGTTACTCAACTTTTCTTCAGAATCATCACTTCAGAATTCTGCTTCCAGCTTCTGGAACTCAGCAGCATCTACCATGAGCTGTTCACACAAGCGACATAATTTTGTATTATTCATCTAAACTTTTCTGAAATGTCTTGGTCTTGCAATATGCCTACACACTTGTTGTCTATGTTTACTATTTTATTACTGATGTGAGTGAATAAAATTCACACTTTTGTTTAAATATTATCTAGGAGCAAAGTACTTAAGTTCTGTTTCAAGGTCAGTAAGCCTCTTAGAACCAAGCTGGAAAAAGACAAACAATCTCTTCTTCGGGACAGGGAAAGGGGGCGATAGTCTTGGACAGAGTGGAGTTGATTAGGGTCCAAACCAGGACAGACATATATGCCTTGTTACAACCTCTCTACTAGTTATAATTCCCCTAAAGAAACTTAAATGAAATTTCATAACAAAGTTGTCATCTTTTTCCATTTGGCAGATATGATCTTGCAGTATTACAGACGTAGGCTTGTTTGTGTAACAGCATCTCTTCTTATAGTAGTATAGTTCTGGGAATAGCACAAGTCTGATATTGCATATGGTGTATTTGCTATTATAAATCAAACCTATTTTGTGAAGAGTAATTTTGGTCTTGGTCCTAGACGGCTTTTTCTTTGTTTTAGATCTTGGCAACAGGCTGGTGAATAGAAGAGCCCTCAGAATTATCCACTAAACCTTGGCCTAAGCAAACACTCCCTTTAATAATGATGTGATATCTCAGACTAGCGGTCTAGTTGTAGAGCTACTATGTGAGCTGAGAGAAATGGCACCAAGAAGGAAGCTTCTCCTCTGTTTCCTTCACCAATTTCTAGGTAAATAATCAGTTTACAGAAGAAAAGAACATTCTTTGAGCCTGAGACAGATTCTTTTAGTGAATCTGTGTCAAGTTCACCACCCAGCTTCAATAGATAACCACAACCAGTGACATTTCAATAGGCAACACTGGAAAAGTTTATGAATCTTCTGAAAGTGCCAATGTACTAGATTAGTAATTTGTTCAATGGTTCATGTAATCAATAAAGTCAAGCACCTTTTATTTTTAATCCCTCTGAAGTACAAAAAAAAGTTTTTAAACTAAACAGATTTCTCTCTTCCCCAGCTGGGGGAGACTAATTTCATGCATACCACTTCTGATTCTCTCCTGCATGTCAAGAGGAATCTCAAGCACCACTTTTTCCATTTATGTACTTTTCATATGGTTAGATCCCCATCTGCTCTGTATATTTCCATTATTTTAACTCTTATTAACAGAATTTGCTTTCTTTCCTTTCCCCAGAGGAATACCAGAATATAGAGGTGTCATCATTAAATTAGCTTAATTACTTCAGGTTAACTTGATACAAAATCTTTAATACAGAATCTACTACTTGCTATTAATAGCTTCCGATAGTGGTTCAACTGATCTAGTGTCTACTATACATAAAATATATTAGGGCGGTCTACATTTCTTACAGTAATTCAGTGGAGAAGTCTTGTCCCAATGGTACATAAATCTGAAGTACCAGAAACTGCTGGATTAGTCCAACTAGAAGGAGAGAAAAAATACAGACATATAACTAAGGACATACTTGTACAAAGAATTGCCATTTAACATTTCAAAGATATATAGGCATACTGCTGTAAGACTATTTCCCCAGGTTCACACAACATAAGAAATGAAAAAAAGAACTGAAGAAAACCAAATCAAACCATAATAAATGTGCCGTTTTAAAGGTCCCAGTTGTGGTTTTGGTGGAATTCTCAGGAAAACAAAAGGACTACTTTTTTTCTTCTGTTTACAGTTCTTCCTTGTGTTGTGAACATATGTAAACTCAGTGTATCCCAGGAAGACGCATAAAACAAAACAACGGATTCACACCAATGTTACATAAAAGCATGTGGAACTTATTCTCACTGTTGAGACAGTTTAAACTTTATTAAAGAACTTAATCAAAAACAATCTATCAAAAATGCAATCCAGATTATGACAAGTGTGGGCAACTGAGGCTTTGATGAGGTAGATCTAATTCACATGCTTAAGGCAGTAAAAATACAGCTTAACTGGAAGAGCAAACAATAGGGTCCTGCCAATTCCCTGTGCAGGAAAAGCCATATACTTACAAGTACAAGACAGCTCGAGTCCAAATTTGTTATTTGTTCTTACTGATTCAGTAAGGGAGGCAGTTACCCCCTTATGGAATTGTGGAGGAGATTTAGGCCTAGAAAGTAACATTAGCCTCAAGTGCCACATGAGTCTCAAGAGGTCTGCATGAGCTCTGATCATCCACGCAGAAGCTCAAAGCCTCTGAGCAGTAGCTCAAAGCAGCTCTTTGTTTTTACCTGTCTGGCTCCTGTGCTACCACTGGTCACCCCCCAATTTACAAAAAAAACTCAACCACAGAGCTTAAGACAACCGTTATTCCAGTGCTCGCTATTTAGTTTACAGCAACAAATCAAAGCAATATCTTAGAGCTAGCCAAAGCATTATCCTGGCTAGAGGTAAATTAGCTGGCTTAGTTACTATGAACAGCAGTTGCAGCAGCATGGAGCTGAGCGTTGGGGAGCCACCCACGTATTTTTGCAGAATCTTGGGCAGGTTATGTAGACTGTGCAGAGCTCTGTACTACAGCAGCTCCTGAGCAAGCTAGTGTAAAGTGCAGAGAGACGCGCTCCTATTCTGACCCCTGATAAAAATGTGAGCAGAACAATTTCACCAAGCAGTTCTGGCAATATGTCCATAAGTTCTGGCTGAGCTACAGAGTATCTCGTAGAAAGCTATCCAAACTTCTTGTGAAAATTTCTAGTAATGGAGAGTCCATCACATAACTTGTGAATTTGTTCCAGCAGTCAGTTGCTCTAAAATGTGAAATGAGTTTCTCTAGCTTTAACTCCCAACATTTTGATTTTGTTATGCCTTTGATTGGAACATAAGAAGTCACCAGTCTTTACTCCTAGGCCACTGACTACTGCATACACTTTAAAAAGTCACATAACCTTTTAGCATCTCAGTTTTCACCATAAATAAGCAACCTATGATAGTACCTACCTCTCACTGGTTCTGTAAGGATTATGCTGGTTTGTTGCTATCTGCATATGAAGTTGGTCCCAGGTATGACGGTAAACTGCATCCTAATGGTGAGCCTGGGGGCGGTGTGGTGGGGCTACTGGTGGAGGGGTAGCTCCTATTAAATACCATAATGTTGCAACCCCCTGAATGCAGCCAGTGAGTATAGGGCACCTCACAACCCTAGCCCCTACTGCCTTGTGGGTACTACTTGGTTGGAGAAAGGCTAAGTGACATCACCTTGACAGAAACATGCCCTTACTGAGGCATTAGGCCTTATCTTTTATTAGTTCTGATCCGTTGCTCTCTGTCAGAAGCTACACCCAGCGAGGCACTGAACATCTGGACTTGGTCTGGTCTTTGGGTGCTGGTTTCAGTGGTCTAAAGTGGGGGATGGTAGGTCTTAGGCAGGCTCCACACCTCCATACTCTTGCCTAGACATCGAAGGTCCTGTGGTGTGATAGTCGCAGGGCTTGGTACAAGCAAATTCATCCGGCGTCTGACTAGACCTCTTATATGTACACCATGATCCAGAGGACTGACAGTTGCTTACTACATATGAAGTGCCCTTAATACATTTTCACTAGAAGTTAGGTTTCAAATCATCAGAGAAGTTGATCAGTTTATGAAAGGTGTTGTATGTCATGGGTGCCCACGACAGCAATGGACAGGGCTCAAAGACCAACAACGCCCATTTCAGCCCTAGAACCCTATGAAAATATTACATATTTATAGCAAATTCTGCTGATATGGTGGAGGCTGCCCAAGACCTACCATCCCCCCTTTAGACCATTGAGACCAGAATGACGCATTATAGTTTTGTAGTATTAAAGTTTTGGCTTTAACTTACAAAGCAACAAAATAAAATCTCTCAGTAACATGCAGCAAAGTACTCTTCTCCACTCAGTATTACTGTTCCAGAAATACACAGGTGCTCCTATGCAGGCAGGGGTGTATTTGGCAACCATGTTGGTCTGAGACAAGAAGAAATGCAAAACTCTAAACTCTTGGTTCAGAGATGATACCTTTTATTAGACCAG